CAACCCGTTTTGTAAGCTTGATAGTACCAGTTTTCAGAGTTGCTCTAAAAAGAGGAAGGGTTTTGAATGAAATGATTGAAACGCAAGTGCTAATGTCATTGATTCATCACGATAGCTTGAATGAGGTGGATTACTACATTAAATATGGTCTTTAATATATATTATTTGGCAGATAAACTGTATTTGAAGTTAAGCTCCTGTGTTACCTCTCTCTATTTGGATCTTTTTTTTTTCTTTGGTCAAATAATTGGTTCTGTTTGGGTTGAATAATCAAATCAATTGACCTTGACATTGTCTCTCTTTGTGTTTCTAGCTCTTGTTTTGATGGGCGTTGATCATATAAGATTGGATTCTTTAAAATGTCTGAATTCTCTCGGCTATAACTCTCCTCCAGATTAGATATAGTGAATGCCAAAAAAAAATAAAAAAATGGAGGTGATTTGCTCTTATCCGCTTAAGTTTTTGGGGACATAATTACTCTTTCTTGTCATGTCATAGGATATATTTAAAAATATAGTATAGGTTATGCACCAAGGTATAGTTTCAACGTTTCCACAATATAGGTGAAGAATGAACTAAGTAAAAGAAAATATATTTTAAAAATTAATTGATTTTATATGTTGAGATATTGGATGGGCAAATGGTGGATTGATTGTAGAACATGTGAAGCTGAAGAAATTCCTACTTTTAAATCGTCATACTCAAGAAGGGGCTTAGGTATGTGGGTCCACCTTTTCTTCACAATTGATACCATCCCACAGCCATTACTATTCCAATCTTGTAATCAAGACACGTAACCTTCTCTACAATTCCAATCGAACGGCTCCTACGTTGCCATTACACCCTACTTTTTCCTCTTTCACTTATTTTTTTCTTCCAATCTGGGACTAATAATCCACTACTATACCCATTATTCATATTCTCTCTCTTTGGATTCACTTTCACAGGTCCATCTTCTTTCTCTCCTTTATAGTTCCCATCTACCTTCCCAAAACACCCATTTTGACGAATCTCAGATCTAGACCAACGCTAAGGTTATTTTGGTAATTAAACTTATTTGCTAAAGTTTTTATTATTTTAACAATTCAAAAAAAAAGGTAAAGTACTTTTTGTTTTTTTATTGTTATATGACGAATTGGGTTTTTGTTATTCTCAGGAATTCAGAGAGTACAATTGCGATGAGAGAAAGGAGCATCGGGTTAAGAGGGATGGCTTCTCCAGACAAAGTGGGTGCGCACGATAAGCGAGGTAGTGCGCACGTTAACCACCACCACCACCACCAAAACAGTAAGACAAACAATAATGATGATGTTAGTAACAACCACAACCACCACCACCACGGTGCAGGGGGTGGGTCTGCATCGTCGGAAACAGCGCACGATAGCAAGAAAGGCGGAGGAGGTGGGTCCTCATCGGGGAGCGACGCGATTCCGATGGTATGGCCACCGAAGTTTGTGATCGGCTTAACAAACAAGGAGAAAGAGGAGGATTTCATGGCCATCAAAGGGTCTAAGCTACCTCAACGACCCAAGAAAAGAGCCAAATTCATTCAACGCACCCTCAATGTAAGCTTTTGCTTTTCCCCTTTCTTCTCCGTTACTCCATTATTTATTTTTATTCGTTCCTAACTTTTTCCCCCTAACTTTACTAAATAAAACTTTGGTAATAGGGTCATGATAGTAACATTTTGAGTTAATGATATGTTTTGAGCTCTATCTGAACCAATACAAATTAAAATATTTTTGAGAAAAAGAAACTTCTATTCTAAGTTATTATTCCATTAAACAAAATTTGGGGTTTGCTGTTAATTAAATTTTTGTACTAAATCAGATTTATATTGAATAGGTCTCTCGAAATAATCAAATGGACTGTACGTTTTTAAAAAAAAAGACTGTACGATTGTGGTATCTTAATTATTGTTTTTTAAAAAAAGGAATTGTATTTTGGATAGTGGTATTTGGTGGGGCTACGATATTTATGGATGCGTAGCTTTGGCTTCTTCCTCATGGGGACATAAATAGCTAAGATAAAAAAGTATAAACAGAGCTATAAGGACGGCAAGTGGGGGTTTTCGGGGGACACGTGTTAGCTTTTAGGCACGGATTCTTCTGCGTATACTGGGGCACCACTAAAATTTTGGAGAATGTTTGGTAAAACTTTGAATAACATTATTTTTTAAAATTTGTATTAGTTAAAAAAATTACTAGTTTAATTTAAAACTGACTCGGAAGAGGACAAAAACTTGGAGCAACTCTAGACATATTATCTTAAATGATTTGAATAGTATTAATAACATATTATAATGCCTATAAGTTTTAATTTTAAGCTCTTACGGATCCAGGAGTAGTTTCCTTCCCTTCCCATGTTAATAGTAAGCGTAATTACGTATAATTTGTTTGAAAAGCTATGGAATATTATTTAATTAATCAACTAATAAGCTTCGTATTCCAATTATTATGTAGCTGATAAGTCCAGGGGCATGGCTTTGTGATTTGTCCTTGGAGCGATATGAAGTTAGAGAGAAGAAAGTAACCAAGAAGGTATCATTTATGAAATTAATTTCCATTTCCATTTCTATTTCAATTTTGGGGGTTAGGATAATAGAATATTTCGTCGTAATTTTGCAGAGACCAAGAGGGCTAAAAGCTATGGGAAACATGGAATCTGACTCGGAGTAGACTTTCTTCTGTTTGGAAATGTTTCATTGAGTTAAAAAAGGAAAAGGCAAAAACGAAAAAAGAAAAAAACCACGTGAATGAAAATATGAGCTCTTGGTATTCCTCAAGATCAATGTACTTCTTCATGGTTTTTCGCCTTGGCATCAATTATAAGAAGAAAAATGTTTAGCCATATATAATTTTCGCTCTATTTTAATTTGTTTCCCTACAAGTTTTCCTTCCGACAAATATAAAAGATAAAGATAGGAAATAAATAAAATCATGACCTAAAGCTTCTTTTTCCTTGTTTCTTCAATCTTTCCGAACCAAGAAAACAATGTAAGAAACTGAAAATTGCAAAAAAGTAACGGAAAAGTTTAAATTTGGAGATTGAAAATATGTCAATTTTAAAGAATTTAAGCTAATAATTTTAAAAAATAAATAAATTACCTTTTACTTCGAACGAAAAGGAAGAATAGTTGGATTATATTGGTCAAGTTGGATTCTGTTATTTGTACCATTTGTCTATTTTTCAAGTCTATTTTCCAATTCGTCTCCCATTAGATTATGACTCTGTTACTTGTTCCATTTTAATCTAATCATTTTAACTAAAGCAAACTTTGAAAGTATTGAGAATGATTCATTTATTGATTAATGATCTCTCCAAATTTTAATTCAACTCATCCTTTAACGTATTTTCACTTAGAACGAATTTTCAAAAAGGATACTAAAGATCTTCGTATCCATGGGCAAAATCGAAGGAAACTAAACGCCAAAGGACAAATTAAGGAACAACTTTGCCTGCCCTTTATTTTGGCGTATTTATTAAAGATTTGATACATTAATTATTTATGTAATATATGGGCGTTACGCAATCTCACGCTGGCCCTTTAACATTTTGGTCTTTTATAAACGTCACTAAAATGAAAGTCTTTTGCCTTTTTTTTTTTTGGATGTTAAAAAACATTGAAAGTCGTATATTCTTGCGGTAAAATAAAGTAAGAAAAACAAGGATCATTCTCTTACATGCGTTTGTTTGATAACAGAAGATGTTTCAGAACAGGTTTGTAGCATTTCCCTTCTATATAAAAAATCCCTACGGAAGTGAAATAGCCAGCAGGCAGCATAGACTTGCATCCAACTTCAAAATGCTCACCAAGAAATAACTTGGAAACGAAATTACTACTTATGTGAACATATTTTCCTTTTTGGTCCGTTCCAAAAATAATGACCCTTTTTTAAAATTGAAAACAATTTAGCTTAAATTTCCAATTCTACCCTTAATGAGAAGCTTTTATAATCAACAAATACTTTGGACCCCTTTCTGACATGTTTAGGACTACAAATTCCAAAAGTCTTCATTTTTTTTAAACTACGTGCTCAGTCAAACAGGTTCACAAAAATAAGAACAAGAACGAAGTGAGTACTTGTTTATATTGTCTGAGGATCAAGTCTAGGGTAAAATATCCGCGAACACATTTATTTGAGTACATACCAAAACATAAGAATTTACCATACAACCACATTATCTTATTGAAGTGGTTCCAACTTATAGTAAGACATACTTTTCGTAATGGTATGGTATTTAGAAAAGAAACGGCTATGTGAAGCAAATAGCACTAATTCAGCAGCCACTGTAAATCTTGATTTCTGAAATCTTAGTTGAAATTTACTCTGACGTTTTCTAATTTGAAGCTCATTTTCAAATATTTTGATTCAATTCCATTTAAAGAAAACTTTACAATATGTGCTACTCAACCATGTTTCCAACTCTCCACCAACGCCTATCCAAAGCAGCATGATGTGTCCGATATTTCAGGGGGGGCGTCAACTGTAGAGTTTTTGACCAAAATTATCTTTACCACCGTTTCACCATAACTTTCATTAAATCCTTATAATATTTCATTTAATAAGGAAACATCTTTAAGTTTTTCAAAGTTAACCAAAAATATCCCTTTGTTAGATTTTCCATCACCTGTAACAGAAACTTTATTAATCACGTGACCCCTTTTTTTTCTCTCCCTTTTTTCACAATCTTCTTTCCTTCCTTTCTATGAAGAAAACATGCACATGACTTTTTTGGAAACTTTCAGACAGGATTTGTAATGGTTGTACCATTTGTTCGAGTGAAGCTTTCACTGCAAAAGCAGAGATGGTACTACATTACCTTTGCCCACTTCCTGAACATTATATGAACTAACTGCCTCAGAATTTGCAGACCTACAAGAAGAACTTGGCCCACATGAAACCGCAAATTTAAACTTTTTTTATTATACCAAGATGAAAAAAGGAAGTACAATTTTCACAATATGGTGGACTTTTTTGGAAATAGAGCTGATCAGGTTAGAGAATGATTGCTGATAACGATGGGGCTATCAGAACCAATATTAACAAAATTAGAGTTTATTACATGAGGTACCTCAAACTCCAAAACTGTATCCTTAGGCAAAAGGCCAGAGTGAAGTGGTTTACAGATGGCGATTCTAATTCTGCCTATTTTCATAGTGTAATTAAAAATTGGAGAAGGAGATTGAGCATCAACAAAATTCAGGATGAATATCACCAATAGGACGTATCTAAAGCTGCAATTAGGTACTTCCACGGATTTGTTTTGCCAGAAGCCTGATCATAATGACTTCTCTGATCTGGATGCCATTGAACCTATGATCACTGAGATATCAACAATGAGCTGATTGTTATTCCTTCTATGGAGGATATAAAGACTTGTATATTTTCAATGGACCCTAACAGTAGCCCCGTGTCTGATGGATTTATTGCTAAGTTTTTCCAGGTGGCCTGGACTTTGTTGCTCCAACCTTAGTCTTGGCCTTAAAATCTTTCTTTTGTGGGGCTAGTCTACCCAAGTGGCTCACACACACTTGTATCATTATGTTGCTCAAAGTGTCCTCTCCCCAGTATTTTAATGATATAAGGCCTATTAGTTTGTGTAATATTGCGAGCAAGAATTTTGCTAAACTTCTCAATTCTAGATTGTCAAAGCTACTGCCCAACCTTATTAGTGGGAACCAAAATGGTTTTGTTAAAGGAAGGTTTATAACTGAAAATATTATACTTGCTCGGGAAATCATTCAAGATATTTCTAAGCCCAATAAAAATGGCAATGTTGTGTTGAAAGTAGACATGGCTAAAGCTTATGTTAGAGTTTCTTAGTTTTTTTTTATGTGCTTCGATGAGGAGAATGGGGTTTAATGAAATATGGATTGATATGATGTTTAAGCATGTCTTTAGTAATTGGTATTCTCCACTTGTCAATGGTAATAGACAAGGTTTCTTCAAATCTGAAAGAGGACTTGGGCAAGGAGCTCTCATTTCCCCTTCCCTTTTTGTCCTATGTGCTGAATTTCTAACCAGGAAGTTACAGGATGTATCTATTCATAGAGAATTCACTGGATTCTATATGAATAAGAAGGGTCTTATAATTAATCACCCTGCATTTGCTAATGATGTTATTCTTTTTTCTAGTGGGTGCAGGAAATCCTTGGAGATGCTTATGGAGGCATTATCAGTATATGAGAAAGTTTCTAGACAGTTGGTGAATTAACAGAAGTCTTGTATCATATTGTCTCCTAATGCAACTGCAGAATTAATTCAAAGGGTAATGGAGATCACAAGAATGGAATACAAGGAACTACCTATCAGGTACATTGGTTGTCCTCTATATGTTGGGAGGAAAAAGACAGCTATTTTCTCAGACTTGGTCGCCAAAGTATTGCAAATGATATCAGGATGGCATGCCAAACTTTTGTCCACAGGTGGTACAACGGTATTGATCAGACATGTCTTGCTTGCTTTGCCAATTCATCTCCTGTCAGCCATACACCCTCCCAAGGGAGTCTTACATCAGATAGAGATGATGTTGGCAAAATTCTTTTGAGGAGGTTCAGACGAGAAGGAAAAATTTCACAGGGCTTCCTGGGATAGTTTATGCTTCCCATACAGTGATGGAGGAGTTAATTTCAGAAAATTACAAGATACATGTAATTATTTCATAGCAAAGCAATTGTGGATTTAAGGACCAATGATTCACTATGGAAGAAGTTTCTTAAGAGTAAAAACTATCAAAGATCACATCCTTTAATCAAGAAAAGGTATTCTAGGCATTCCCATACTTGGAATGCTATGTGTAAGATTAAAAGAAAGGTGGATATGCACATATTGTGAAAGGTTGGGAAAGGGAACACTGCCTTTTGGTTTGATAACTAGACCAATCTTGGTCCACTATACAATTTTCTGCTAGAAGGAAGTAAGCCTACAAACATTAAGCTCTCCGAAGTACTGGTGAATTATCAATGGTGGTGGGGAGGATGGGATAGCTTAATTCCTTTGACTCAATGAAGCTTAAACTGAGACCTGCTGAATTTAATTCCCAGTTTGGACTGTTGATGAGAAAAGTACATTCTCTGCGGCTTCATCTGGGCACTTATTCAGAAGGAAAGAGCAAAATTCATCGATTGATTCAAAGACTTGGCAGAAACAGGTGCCATTCAAAATGAGTTTTATTGTTTGGAGGGCCTTGAGGATAAAATCTCATCTGGTGCCAGAATTCTTAGGATGAGGTTCTCTATTTCTTCTAGATGTTATTGTTGTAGAATTCCTAACCTTGAAACAATAGATCGCCTTGTTTGTTCTGGAGTTTATGCTCAAGAAGTATGGAAAATTATATGTGGCCCTAGAGGTACTATATTGGAATGTCCTTTAGGCAACTATTGTTAAATTGGTGGAAATTTAACGCTCAAAACCTAGTTAAAGCCCTTCTGTTGAACAGTTTACCTATCATCACAAAATAGAAAATTTGAAAAGCCAGGTGTGGAGTCAAATATGATTCAAGAGAATCAATGTAAGGAAGACCATATCTCTTATCTTTTTCTCCATCTCTAAGGCGGTGAATACTCAATTCCTTAGGTTCAGAATCAAGCCTGAATGGAACAACATCTCTCAATTATTCCATACAACTATCTATTTCAAGAAGACTATCATAACCAAGTAGAACAATCCCACCCACCCCCACCCCCCGAACTGTTTGTTAAGCTTAATTCTGATGGAAGTTGTAGGAATGGCTATTGTGAGGGAGGAGTAGTAGTAAGAGACATTATGAGGTTGATCTATGCGTACACTATAAACTTAGGTCATGTAACTAGTAACTGGGTAGAAGCAATGTCCTTGTTATTTGGTATCAAGTGGTGTATTGAGAGTGATTTCCACAATATCTTGGCAGGAAGTGATTTCAAACTCTCGGTAAATTATGTTAATGGAAGCACTACTACACTCCATGGAGAATAACATATCAAGTTAATGAGCTTAGAAGATTGAGGGGACATAGAGTTTTTAATTTGAATCATTATTTCAGGGAAAGCAATCAAGTTGTTGATAAACTGTAGCTTTGAGCTATGATTCATTACAAACTCAAGTGTTCCGGTCTTTTGTTGATTTACCAACACAAGTAAGAGGTCTTATGAACATGGATAGTTGGAAATTACCTACAATTCGAATTGCTGATAAAAGAAGAGCAAAGATTACCTTCGAGCCTCCTTGAAGCGTGTTGCTGGTCGTAGTTGTAGGAGTTTTTAGCAGAATATCTTTTTATAGGATGGATACTTTTCGTCTATCTGTATGTAAGGTCTGAGTATCCATCCCCTTGTGTAATCTTGCATCTTTTTGTCACAAGGATATCATAGGCTTCCTTTCAGTTTAGACGAGGGTGCTTCTTTGATTTAAATCATCTCCCTCAACTCTTTGTACTTCCTTTTGATTATGACTAATAAAGTTTAAAAAAAAAGGTACGTTTTAATTTAAATGGCACACTTTCCTTATTAGTCAATTCAAAAAAGAATGACATAATTCTATATTAAAAAATAATTTAACTTTAAACTTTTCATTATATCCATTTTACCCTTAATAAGAAGTTTTTATAGCCACACAAATATTATGGTCCCAATAAGATTTTGTCCCTTAAGCTTTTAGCACTATATGTCTCAAAAGTTTTATTTTTTTCTTAAACTTTGTGTCAAGTCAAACTATAACGTCTAAATTGAACAGAGGAGAGTAACTATTACATGCATAAGAGAGAGAAACAGAGAGCATATATAGAGAGAGAAGTAAAGAACCACTGTGTGTGTGAACTTTCCAAAAATACCATAATATCCTCTTCAGATCCGTTTATTTTTCTCTGAACATATTCCTGATCCCTTTCATCACTCTTCAATCTCAAAAGCTGAAAATTTTTATTTGAAAAATTAGCTCTCTTTTAATTTAACTCATTTCTATTTACATTCATCCACTGTGTCAACTTAGCATGCGTCACTTTTTCTCTTTTTTTGCTCAATCTGTGCTTTACATTGAATAACACTAACTAGGTTTTTTTTTTTTAATTGTTAATATTGGTGTTTTTCAGCTTCACGGTAGTTTTTTCGCCAGTGTCCACCAAAGCTCTGTCGAGAACTGTGAATTGAGTGTGTTGTTCCCGTAATTATATGTTGTGTGTTAGAACGTAGAACACTTCTCTTCAACTTTTGCATTTGACGGAAGCACATGTCTTCATCCCTCGTTGATATACTTTGCCACCAATAATCAATTTTGTTGAAGCACTTGTTTTCAATTTCCGTTGATGCTCTTTGTTATAAATACTCAATTTTGTTGAAACGCACCTGTTTTCAACTCTTGTTGATGCACTTTATCATCAACACCCTATTTTTGTTGAAGCACGTATCTTCAGTGGCGAATCCACTCTTTAGGGTGGGGTGGTATGGCACCTGCTACATTGGTAAAATTATTATATATTTATGTAGAATTTTTTTTAAACGAAGTTAAATATTTGATCCCGCCACCCCCACTTGCAAACTAGACAAATGTGTCATAGCCGGTAGACCTTTTTAAAAGCTTTTCTCGTGTGTAAAATTCAAGTTCGAATTTATCTTGAACCTTATCTGACTTTCCCTTTTAGTTCTGCATTTTATTTCCTTTGTGCCAATCATTTTCCTTTTTGGCTACCTCCTAATTTTCTATTTATCGTTTATTATTTTTTATATTTTTTTCTATATTCTATTATTTTATTTGTGATCTTTAACAAGATCACTCAAAAAAGAGCCTCCAAAATTTAAAATTTCATAAAATAAGCATCTCTCTTAATCTCAAATTCTTTAAAGTAATTTTTTTCTTTCAAAATCAAAAAACTTGGGTCTTGATAGGAATTTTGGATTGAGATCAACTTTAATTTTTATAATTTTTTTATTATAACATAAAAATTTGTGCTATTCTATAATTGTTAAATACAACTTAAATCTCTTTACTATTAAATTATGATGAATATTTCGCAAGCATTGCCTAGAAAAATATGAGATTTATTATTTTACTTTTTAGAATCTTGTAATTTATCTAATTCTGCATTTACTCATGGGGTATAATTTATCTATTGAAGATTATTTTTTATTATTCTTATTCGGATTGGTGAAATTCCCTTATTGGAGATGTTATTTTACTTGTGCAGATTTATTTTAGCATACAAAAAAGATGTAGTTCTCAATTGAAAATATTGAGTACTTGTATTGTTAATAATAAAGGTGTGATTCCTTCTTTAAAATGCTAATTACATTTGCTTCTTGATGTCTGAGATGTAATTTTTATTTAACAACAACAACAACAACAACAACATATTCAATGAAATCTCACAAGTAGTGTATGCGATCGAGATGTAATTTTTATATTTACAAATAAAAAAAATGCCAATTAAATTTCCCGAATAAACTAAAAAAAATGAACTGAACAAGCGTTCCGAACAAACTCTATATTAATTATTACAAGGTCTACATTAAAGAAAATTATGGCACCCATCACCTTCAAATCCTATATCCGCCTCTGCGTATCTTGTACTCCCATTGATACAATTTGTCACCAACATCCAATTTTGTTAAAGCACCTGTCTCCAACTCACGTTGATGCACTTTGTCACCAACTGTTGATGTACTTTGTTACCAACACCCAATTTTATTGAAGCACATGTCTTCAACACCCATTGATGTACTTTGTCACCAACCGTTGATGCACTTTGTCATCAACACCTAATTTTGTTGAAGCACTTATTTTCAACACCCGGTGATACACTTTGTCACCAACACTCAAATTTGTTGAAGCACGTAATCAACTTCCAACTTTTTTAAACCTCTCTCCAACATTTAGAGAAGAGTTTCTTCCTCTTGTGCCATATTTGTTTGCACCTCTTTAAACTTGTTTTTTTTTTCTTGAATCTGTTTTGAAACTTTTCATCGAATAGTCTAATTCTGTTGACAACTATATATAATTTTGCCAACATATTTTTTTGGCCAGACGGGCGGCACACATTGCCTTGCGCCGCCCGCCGGCTGCGGAAGCTACTTGATTCTCTCCCAAGATCGTAGAAATTCTAATACCAATATGAAGGAAAATATTTTATTTATAAATTTATGAATGATCCCTACAATTCTTTATTTCCTCCACACATAAAATAAGCTACCAATACTCCTATTTATAATAGTACGAAATATATTTTAATTAGAAACATGAAAGCCTATTCCAATATTAATTATGACTACAAATCCTATTTAGACATGAATTAAATAATTTTGCAAATATCAAATCCTAAATAATTTAAGTATCCTATTATAACTTTGAATTAGTTTTCCATAAGTGATACATACTACATACGTAGTTTAAGATGATCTAATCAATTGAACAAGTTGATTTAGACAAATACATCTATTTTTTGGCTACGAATGAGTTAGAATGCTTTTACTCAAGACGGCAAGATACTCGAGACATATGTTCACCACAATCCAAGACGGATTTAAGATTTTTATAACATAAATAAATAAAAAGAAAGAATTAAGTAGGAATTGATCCTTGCTCTTCTAGGTAAATAACTCAATATTCAACCAAGTATACCATTTACTCCCTTCGTTTCAAATTAGATAAGATACTTTCCTTTTTAGTCTGTTCCAAAATAAAAAACACATTTCTCAATTTGGAAATAATTTAACTTTAAACTCTTCATTTTACCCATTTTACCCTTAATGAGAAATTTTTATAACTACACAAATGTTATGGCCCCACAAAGCTTTTACCCCTTAAACTTTTAAGACCATAAGTTTTAAAAATATTCTTCTATTTTCTTAAAATTCGTGCCGAGTCAAACTATATCATCTAAATTGAAACGAAAAGAGTAATTTTTTTGGGAATATGAATGCCAAGATAATATTAGATCTATTCTAAAAGGCTGAATATATACCCAAACCCTTATACCTGTTAGGATTTTTCATTTAGACACTTAGACTAAATGTTATTCCTATTAGACTCCTCAATAATAACTCAACCGTATCTATTAAACACAAACGGTTGACATGGCATCGAGCGTGTAACCCACATTTTCTAAGAGAGTGAAAGACCTAATTTTCTATTTTACTTTTTTTCTCTCTCTCCTTCACCTCGATCTTCCGCCACCACTCCATCACCATACTTACTATCTCCATAAACCATAAGAAAGAATCATTTCTTCTAATTTTAGTGCTTAATCCTTCCAAATAAACTTTTTTTTTTGCTGTCCCTTTTAGAATTGCTCAGATCATCATATACATCTATTAATCCCTCATCTTTGGCCAGAGAAACCCCTCTTAATTCAATAACCATGGTTGTAGCACAGGTAAGCACACATATATATGGAGCCAGTCTTGCTCATTGCATAGTCTTGAGTCAAAATTGGCTTTGTCGGAAAAAAAGCCTTGTCGGAAGGATCTTTGCCAAAAGTCTTTTCTGGTTAATTGATTTTTACAATTTTGATTTCTTTTAGATTTAGTTCTTGTGCTGAAAGTAAGTATAAGTTGAACATATTATCATGATTTTCTTAAACTTTTTGAGTGTGAGTTGCTTGAGGAGCGCTGAAACTGGGGCGGTTTCTGGTCGTGATATCGGTACCAATGATGATGATGGTGCCAGGAAAAAGGAGGGGGAGTTTGTGACGAGCGCAAAACCGGCGTATAAAATTTAGGCTCGCTAGTCAAAGATAGCATAATATTAAATCGTTTCCACATGGATTTCTTTAAATAATGTTCTAATAAATCTTCAACTCAACACTATCCATGATAATAAAACTTTGATTGATGTTGTTATCGGCTACCAATAAAACTAAGATTATTTATTGTAATAAACTAATGTCACTTTATGACTAAGGATCAACGATTGAATATCAGGGTGAGAAGTAAGGGTTGTGACAAGATATGTGATCAACTATTATTTCGAGTAACTCTGGGTTAAGTTCATTCTTAACTTCTATTGACTTCTTCGATTTCAACAGATAATTAGGTTACCTTAGGGATTCAAACTCTTCTTTCGAATGAATGAGAGTTCCCTTAATCAACCTAACAACAGGTCCTATGAACATATGCAAATGTAATAAATGAATGATATTTTGAAGAACACCTCTCGATTATTCTTTTAATCTAGGTTAATTGATAAACCTCTAAACTCTTTTGATTGCAACAACACTTCTCTTTCAATTAAAGTAAAATCACAATAAGCCTTATAATTCAATTAATAACTCATCTAATGAATTCGGGCAATTAACACAGAGTAAAACCCAAAACAATAGTCAAAAAACGCAACATCCATTAATAACCCTAAGCAAGATTACTCCATAATGGAAAAGGTATTCATCACA